TAGATTTGATATTCCTGGCCTCACTCCTCTCCTTTCTCCTCTTCCTATCTCGCCTGGCTGCTGCTCCGACTGATGTTGCTGCTTGTCACTCCCGTCGTTTTCAATGCCCGCCAACAGATCGTGCATTCATGGAGCAGGTCGCCGTCTGAGCTGGTCTCCGAAACAACGGACACGTTGAAGCGGGATCGAGCTCTTTCTGGGCATCACTGACACTGAGGCACATGATACAGCGCTCGTTGGCAATCGGATCGAACTCTGAGGGATTCGTTGTCTGCGGTCGACAAACAGACACGTGGAAAGTTCCAGCTCGGACGCGAAGTGCACGGGCGTCTGAGGGTACAAATTCCACTGTCGACGTGGACAGAGTTTGTGTACGACCGGTAGTTCTGTACATGCTGTGCTGACAATCGATTAGGATATTATAAAACGTTATTACCTAACATTATGCGGAAAAAAATTGGAGTTTGTCAGTAGATGGTGTCGCTGTCTAGAAGGCTTTTTTGACGAAGCGCGCCGATTTGCTACTTACTTTCAAAGCAGGGAAAAGCATACTTACACCCTCAGCAAAACCTTTTTGTTTATACAGCACTGAAGGGAGCAGAAAGTACAGCATTAAACGGGGTAGAAAGTGTGTGAGGCCCTATTCTCGTCATTGACTCATTGTTAYACCCCTGTGCGGCCTGACAGAACTTTCCCGCCATTGTTTTTCACGGCGGGCCTTACGGGCAACCAGGGTGATTAAATGACGTGCAGGCTCGTTTCAGTGCTCACACCCTTTGTCTCCCTTCAGGTTCGAGAGGATACAAAGGTTTTCTCCAGGGGGCACTTCATACTTCTCCCTTTCAAACTTTCATCCCCCTCTCTTGGTTTTCTCTGCAAATTTAGTAGTTGGGTTCCCTGAATCAGCTGGCAGTGGCTAAGATTTCACCGGCACTAGAACGCTTTCCCCGGAATCCGCCTTAACGGCTCAGCTGCCGGATCGTCATCATCGTCATCGTCGTCGTCATCATCATCATCATCATCATCATCATCATCATCATCATCATCATCATAATCATCTGGAGATTCCTGTCGGTGGAGAAATCCCGTCCCGTTGAAAAGTGTGGAGACTCGGGTTTGAAGAAACGTCCGCAGCCGACATGCGAGGAGATCAGACCCCCGGCCCAGATCGCCGGATACGTATGTTTCATGAACGCGAGGTGTGTCGAATCTGTTCATGCAGTCGCAAACGCTGTACGTGCGTTTGTCATCACTGCGGGTTCCTCCGGGGGAACTGCCGCTGCCAGAAACTGCGATCGTCCTGGCTGGGATGGTTGTGGAGTTGCCTTCGATGCCTTAACAAACAGAACATGAACTGAAGGTAATTCTGATGGATACAGCGAGACGAGGAGGACATCTACTACAGCCTCCCACTTTGTCTGGCATCCAAGCATGAACACCATACGCAGTAAGACCTCCAGTTTTTCGTTGTTCGCGCTTTGGAGGTTTTGTTTTAACGGTATGAGACCGTTGGCTGCTTTGTGCAAATGGAACGAAGGGATAATAAGACCGTTAAGACGGTGCGGTGCGTATTGGATGGAGCTTTGCAGCGTGCAGAAGGAACCGGGAAGAAGGAATGGCATCTCGGGTGGCTAAATAATAACCATTGTGCTTCAAATAGAGCAACCGAGGGCTCGTTTGCCCTTCAAATCCAAGCAGCCGATGAGGAGATATGCGTTTCTTTTGGTGGTGGTATCCCCTGAATATATTTATGTTCTTGCATGCCCGATCACTCTCTATCAGCTGCAGAAAAGGAGGAGCAGGAGGAGGAGGAGGAGGAGGAAAGGGAGGAGGAGGAGGTGTAACACGAGGAAGAAGTTGAGGAGGAGGACGAGCAGAAGAGGACAGCCGACGAGGAAGATTATTATATCTACAAAAAGAAAAGGCAAAAAGATTGGGGGCGCGACGAGGAAGAGGAGGACGCCGGGGAGGACACCAGGGAGGAGGTGTCGGAAGAGGAAGAAGTCGAGGAGGAGGAGGAGAAGAAAGCGACGACGATGAACTGGGCGCGCGCGCGCGAGAGAGAGAGAGAGAGAGAGAGAGAGACGCACAGAAAACAGTGGGTTCAATCAGCTTTTTGGGGAGATGGACGGCTTCGAGGCGACTATAGGAGTCGTGTGGTCACTGGTTAGGCATGAAACAATCAGGCAAACGTTCTGGAAAGTGTTTTCTTGACAGGCCGACCGGGCCGGTCTCACAGGCAGATGAATACCCATGGGTCGTGACCGGGGTCCGCATGACTTCTTGAASGCAAATATACATATCTATATCTATATRCGCATATATACATGAGCATATATATGTATATATGCACAGAGAGAGATTGCAGACCAACGAAAAGATTGACACAGAGGCAGTTCGGATGCTGTTTGCACTCCTCTCCTTTCTCGTGCTCCTCCTTTCTCCTCCTCCGTACTTCCAGTTTCTCTCCTCCTCCTGCAGCTCTTCCTTCTCCTCCTCAAGTTTCTCCTCCTCCTGCAGCTCCTCCTCCTCCTCCCGCAGCTCCTCCTCCTCCTCCTCCTCCTAGTCCTTCTCCGGAACCTCCTCCACCCCCTCCTCCTCCTCCTCCTCCTCCTCCTTACTATCATCATCATCGTCTCGGTCATCATCCTTGTCGTCGTCCTCGTCCTCGTCGTCATCATCATCACCAACCTCGTCTTCACCGTCATCATCGTCGTCGTCGTTGTAGTCGTCGTCATCATCATCATCATCATAATCACCATGAAACTTCCCTCCTCGTCCTTCACCCCCCCAATCTCCCCACGATGACATTGTTGGCCGTCTGGCTCTAGCATTGTGGGAGGACGGGAGTGAAGGACGAGGACAGACGGACGTGCCACGCCGGAAATGATGAAATCAGAACGATAACACTGGGAGACAAAGCAAGTTCCTGTTTYCTTTGGGGAAACTGCTYCTGGGTCACACCCAGCGTTTGAATAGGCAACTTGAGCAGTTCTCGCTCGAAACAGGGCCAAAAAAGCCGCTGCTAAATCTGCCCCACTTTGTCTTTTCTTGCCTATTTCAAACTGAAAAGGCGACTCAGGAGCAGTTTCCCGAAAGAAGAAAGGAACTCGCCKTGTTTCACAGTGTTATCGCTCTGATTAGTCCTAATCTGGGTGGTATGGGTCCCACTACGTAATCCCGAGCGAGTGTACAGAACAATACAGTAAGTCGTGAGAAAAAGGGTAAGGGAAAGAGAAAACAAATGGCAGATGGCGAGAACCCGGGGAGGCTATAGGGGGGAGGGAGGGCATTTCAATGTGAACTTCGTCGAAAGAGGAGTTAGGAGAGGGGGAAGCGTGGCGACTGGGGCGGGGACAAGATAAATTGACTTTTTGCTGTGTTCTTTTGTTGTTTTTCTTAAGGGGAAACTACGCGGGAGTCAGGAAAATGAGTTATAATTGCACTTTGGGCCAAGATACAGTTTCGAATTGCGGTTCGGGCAATGTATACAACCCAATTTTTTGTGCAGGTAGGGTGCCCGAAGTGCAATTGCAAACTGTATTTTGCCCCGTAGTGCCATTATAACTCTCTTTTGTGACTCTACTGACGTTACCCCTTTTCTTTTCTTCGCTCCTTGCCCCGATCTATTGGTGGGGATTTTTCAGTTTTTCTCTTTACKGRTGACTGATCTGCGGACGTCGGACGATGGACACGATGGAGGAGGAAATGAGATAGGGATGGGAAAACAAGACAAGGGCGATATTCGAACGCGGGAGGGAGGAAGGAGAAGGCGGAGGAAATGGATAAGAAACCAGATGAGGATATGTAATAGAACGAGGATAAGAGAGAGGAGGAGAAGGAATGGCGGATGGATGAAACGATGATGACGATGCTGAGGGTCAGGAGGAGGAGTGGAGGTGGATGACAATGGGGAGACGAGGGTGGAGAAGAGAGAAATAGAACGGAAGAAGAGGTCTGGCAGGAGAAGACAGAGGGTGGGGTCTTTTTCTTTTGTGGAGAGAGAGAGAGAGAGAGAGAGAGAGAGAGAGAGAGAGAGAGAGAGAGAGCACTCGTCGAATGAACTTTCTCTCTCTCTCTCTCTCTCTCTCTCTCTCTCTCTCTCTCCGGGAGTACGGACTCTACAGAGGCAGATATGATGGGGGGAGCGACGGCCGGAAGATGATCTCTTTCTCTCTCCCTCCCGGACCCCCCCCTCACCCCGCAGTGCGGAGGGAGATATGATGGCGGGACCGAGGGCCGGAAGATGAGATCGGGAGGGGAGGGACGGTCGATCCAGGCGAGGTACAATGACGGCACATCGGGCAGCGGGAGAGAGAGAGAGAGAGAGAGAGAGAGAGAGAGAGAGAGAGAGAGAGAGAGAGAGAGAGAGAGGTCTACGCAGGGATGGCTTAGGATGTCTTAGGATGCGGCAGGAACTAAGAAGGGAAGGCTTCCCCCCCCCTCGTTGTTGGCCGCGGGCGAAGCCGCGGCGGGCAAGTGCTTGTTTAGCTAAGTAGTGGAAGCAAAGGTCACCCGTTTACTAGATAACCATTGTGCTTCAAATACGACCGCTCTTTTTTGGCATTACAAATGGGAACCGTGAATGCGGAACTATGCGTTTGGTTTAGTTGTTGCATCCCCTCAATTTGTTCGTAATACTTGGTATGTTTCATGACTCGCGATGAGCTGCAGACAGGTATGGGCTGTCCGGGACAGAACTTTGTACGATCTGTAATCTCTTTGCTGCTTCCCGTTCGAAATGTATTACCTGTTCTGTGAAGCACGAGATATTCTCTCTCTCTCTCGCGCTCTCCCCCCCCACCGCCCCGCCTCTCTCCCCCTTCTCATTCCCTTTCTCCGTCCGCTCTCCACTGTGTGCCACCCACTGGCTTGACAATGTCTTTTTCTAGGGGTAATTGCGGCTTGGTCAAAACGAGTTTCGAATTGAAACAAGAAACACGCACTGACGTTCACAGTGGGAGGGGAGCGGAGGGGAGGCACAGCGACTGGCCCATCGAAGACGCTCGGTCCTGATGGTACCGGCCGACCCCTGGCCGATATCTCTCACCTGCTACAGCACCTGCTGTTGGGTGCAGCTCCCGCATGTTCCCTCGTTGGAGGCTTGAGCACGGATGTGGCTGGGTGCAGCTCCCGCATGTTCCCTCGTTGGAGGCTTGAGCACGGATGTGGCTGCTACGGGGTTCCCCGTAATACTATATTGACAATAAAAAAGGCCCTAAAAAGGCCGTTCTGTCCAGATTTGGCAGGTAATTGAATTGGTTGGGCTTACAAGAACTAGGCTCTTTTCTTTTTTTTATAAAGAAAAAAAATAACAAATTGCAGCTACTTTTTACTAAAAAGCACATTCTAAACTGGCGCCATGACCAAGGTGCCAACACTGCCAAGCGACTTTACGCTAGCTCTCAGGGCGTCTGCTCAAGGTTGTGGCCGCCATACCCAGCCTGTCCCTGGCAGCCCACGGCCAGCGCTTTCATCGAAGAGAAGTCAGGACAGCATGGAGTCTCGGCTATGTTGTGTGTGGGTGCTGAGCCTCGCCATGCTGCATGGTTTTTCTTCACTGCCCTCTATAGAACGCTGGACGGACCCATGACCAGGGTACAATTTGTGAATCTGGCCTTAGATATGGAGATTATACATGGAGCAGGGGAGCTTGTTATTCGCGACTACGACTCGCTTTTCTCACGGATTCGGTATTATAGCAGGGGCTTGGCAGGTTGTATCGGCCAGGAACAAGGCGTTAGAAGCTGTCATGACAGGAGGCTCCTCAAGAATCGGTGCGCCGATTGGTAGCTCTGTCCACGATTGGTAGTTTCAGTCATCCTACTGGACTGTTTTTGTCCGTTGCTCACTTTTTTTTTTTTTTTTTTTTTTTAAGATGCTTTAATCTCTCAATTACGAGCAGCACTTTGCAAGTTGCTCACTAATTTGTGTTCTAACCCAAAATTCTGGGGGCCTTCTCTTTTTAAGCTATATTCTTTTCTCAATTTCAACTCACACTACCTACCTACCACTCCTAATTGTAGGCATACGGGGAACCCCGTAGCAGCCAGAACCGTGTTCAAGAGAGAACATGCGGGGGCTGCTCCGGACCTGCAGGTGGGCGATACCGGCTAACTAGGGTACAGCCGGTAGCATCAGGGACCATGCCAACAGGACCAATCCCTGTGCCTCCCCTCAGGTCCCCTCACTTCTTTGACAAAGTGTTGGTCTTCGTTTACTTATAATTTCACTGTTTAACTGTTCAAGTCGGTTGGATCGTCGCTGATGTTTTCTTGTGGGGGTCTAGGGGTCTTTTGTATGGTGCTATGGTGGGTGCAGCTGGCATTGGTCTTCATTTACTTTCACTTTTACTGTTTTAGTGCTAGTTGGCTTGTCGCTGACGTTGCTTGTCGGGGTCTAAGCGTCTTTTGTATCGTGCTATGGTGGGTGCAGTCGCAGCGTGTGGAGTGATCGACCATGTCTTTAGTCGTTGCCTCTTATTTGGCTGGATTTCATCAAGGGGGCGAGGGGGCGGAGGGCGAGGGAGGGCGGAGTCGACTAGTGGGTAAGATACCGGTTTCCCCTCCACCTGTCTCAGCTATTCTCCCACTTTCTGTGCGGGCTCTCCATGAACCGGATCCCCCTCTACAAGATGAGCTCGCTTGCCACGCCCCTGCATGGCTGCTTCTCCGCTATGGGCATGCCTCCTGTGCTGGCAAGCGTCTCCCTCCCCCTTCGCCTCCATGCTAAGCTGCCGTTGTCGGACAGTTGTCGCAGATGTATCCGGCCGTGAGCGGCAACCGGGGGGGAGGGGGGGGGGAGGGCAAGAAGGGGTGGGGTAGTTGAGGGGTAGAGAAGGAAGGATGGCAGTTCAAACATAGGGTTCCATCTCGGGGCGGGATATTCTACCAGGGAGGAGGAGAGAGAAGGGATACGCACCGCTGCTACTGTTGATGCTCTGCTGATGGGACGGTTTGCTCCTCTTTGCCGGGTTTGCCCTGTAGTCCGTTCCCACTTTCGAACTGGAAGGGGAAGGGTCTGCGGAGAGAGGTCACAGCTGGTTGAGTTTTTTCCTTCTGAATTTCACTTCAGTTGATTGATTGGATTGATTTGATTTGAGTTGGCTTGACATGATTGGATTTGCCAGGATTTGATGTGATTTGATTGGATTTGATATGGTATGTGGGTGGGCACTGGGCAGTCAATCTCCTCATACGAGGGCAATCAATGAGTGATGCTCACCATCTACTATTACGACTCGTCGATGGCTCATCTTTGGAGGCTGTGTTGTAAGTGGGACGCTGGATCCAGTTTCGAGCTGGTGCAGTTTCCCACCAACAGATTGAAGCCATCTTCTACCGAGGGTGTTGCATACTCGTGAATACTTCAACAAGTATGGGCAGAACCAAAGATCAACCATTATAGGATGAGCATGTATGCAGCGGAAGTCTGATAMATGGACTGACTCACATAGACTGAACTCATACAGATATCACTCAACACACAAGCAATCGTGAGATGGTGGGGTCTGAGCCAATCATARRCGATGCTCAGGYCCCGTACARCCATACACAGATGARAGGTGGGAGGAGAGACGAAGGAGGTGGGAGATGTAGGCAGCGCCAGATGTCACCGAGATAGAATCCAGTAGGTCACCGATATGGTAGTCCAAAATGTCATCGAACAAGATCAAAATGTCGTGGGCAATAAGTCACCAATGTCGGAGGTACAGAGTCCTAATGTAACGGGTGTCCAATCTGTGATGCCGCCGAGTATCAACCCCAACAATCTCCAAGTCTTGAATCCGGTAAGTATCACAGCCTCTTACCACCGAAGTCCAACACTGATCTCTGTCCAACTCGTATCAAGTCTCCAATCTGAAGAAGA